CCCCATTCGGGACTCGATCCCAGGACCCTGAGATCGTGACCTGAGCCGAAGGCAGACGCTTAACGCTTAGCCACGCAGGCGCCCCAGAACATACTTCGTTTTATGAAGCTGTTCTCTGGTTTGTTTTTTTCCTTGTAGTAAAAATCCTTTTTATGTTTAATGTTGTTGACAGTGTACAGTATTTGATGTTTCTGTAAATGTCTGTCTGGGACCATATCACTGTGTAGGATTCTCAATTTTATTATTTCTTAGTAGTTACGAAATGCTGAAGTCTGGAGTCCCTAAGTCTGTCCCTCCCCAGGCCCCTGTCCTCTGAGGATGAATCTTCATGCTCATGTCCCTACCTCACCACCACCGTCCACTTGGTCTGGGGCTGCTGTCCACACACAAGGGTGTTTGCTGTTTCCTCCTTAGTGTCGTGTTTAGGAGACAAAGGTCCAGAGCCAGATCCTTGATGTTCAGTCCTAGCTCTGCTCCTTAAAATTGTGGCTACAGGCAAGTTACCGAACCTGTCTGCCTGGGTGTGCTCACTGGTAAATTGGGGTAATATATACTTCAGTATATACTTCCTGGGACTGTAGCAAGGATAAATGGGTAACTTATGAACAGGATTCAGAACAATGCGTGGTGTGACCAGGTTATGTGCAGTCTAGCTGCTGAGAATTTCGCTGCCACCACTGTTGTTTCTCTCATCATGATCTTCATCATCCTTATGGATGGTGGGCTCAGCACCTCTGGAACAATGATGTGTAGCTTTGTGGTAAAACAGCATAGAGAGCTAGACCTGGGTTTCCATTTTGGCTCAGCAATTCACCAGTTCTTTGCTCTTGGGCAGATCACATTATCTGCCTGAGCCTTGGTTTCTTCATCTACAAAATGGTGCTGATGGCAATATGTACTTGCTGAAGGTGCTGTGAGGAAATCCTAAGATAGAATCCTCATTTTGTCTATGGCCTATAGGAAGAACAATACAAAATTGTGCTTAGGATCTAGAAAAAGAGCTAGATCAGTGAAGACAAATATCTTCTTTTGAATGAATAAGTCAGTATTTTAAGTGTGTAAGTTGTAATTTATTTCAATTTTGAAATGATACAATGCATTTAAGTTGCTTGACACAGTCCCTTATGATTATGGTTATTTATGATTACAGTTTGTATTTATATTATGGTATTTCTGACTGTATATATTGTTTTTTTTACTTACTGTGAGGAAAATAACTCCCTGGCAGTATGGCATGCCTTTCGTTTCTGGGTTTGCATGTTAGCATTTTGTGTGGATGGGAGCAGTTTTATTCCAAGATCTTGTTTACAGACTAGATTGAAGGATTTTATTTTTTTCACAAAAATCCTAGTGTCTTCTTTCTTTTTCTGTGAACAGGGTGTCCTGTTCCTAGACCTGAGCTGATCTACCAGCTGGAGCACGGGCAAGAGCTGTGGACAGTGAAGAGAGACCTGTCTCAAATCACCTATCCAGGTAGGAGCCAAGATGTGGGCAGGTGGGAGACCCTGCAGGCTCAAGACCAGGAGGAGACCACTGGCCCCGGTTCCCTGGGGAAGCTTCTTGTTCTGGCCTCTCTGGGGGTTTGGAAACCACGGAGCCCTTTGACCCGAAGTCAGCATGCCTGGCAAGAGACCCAGAATGTTGCTCACTCCTTCCACCTCCCAAGTTACAGTGAATGGTCCTGCCACCCAAGCGGGTTAGAGACTGAGTACAGCCTCAGAGAATTGCTCACACCTCCTAACCTCCTAACACCTCCACACCTCCTCACACCTCCACACTTCATAACACACACAAAAAAAATAACAGAAGGAATATACAAAGAATCCCTGCAAATCAAAAAGAAAATGCAAACCAGTTAAGAGAAAAATAGATATTTATCATGAAATGACATTTCAAAGGAGAAAATACAGACTGACCAATAATCATATAGTCAGGTGCTAAAGGTCCTCAGTCCCCACATCTGGCCATGCCCCAGTCCTGTGCATTGCACATCTTGTACATCTCCTGAATCCCATCACTTGCACCACCTTCCTCAGACCCGTCCCCACGCTCCGTGCACGCTCCCATCATCTTTTCTCTGGGGGACGCTACTAGTCTCCTAACCGGCCTCTGCATCTGCTGGTGCCTCTAGTCAGCTCTGTATCCTGCATGAGCTACCCCAGGAGCTCAGACTTTGTTCGGGTGGTTACCACTTCCCCAGCTGTGGATGTCTCAGCATATGACCCCTGAGGTGTCAGCGGGTCTTTGTGTTGAAAGTAAAGTCCGCCTCCTCCATCGCTTGATCCTCGACCCTACCGCACTCTCTCAGGCTCCGGTGTCTGCAGCTTCCCCTTCCAAGACCTAGCGAGAGAGGTCTTGCCCCTGGCCCTAGCCAGTTCCTGAACCAGAGTCTAGAGCACACCTTTTCAGGAAAATGTTTTCTTCATTCATATTCTGTTGTGTAATGTAACGTCTTCCTTTCTCTACTCAACATAAAAATAGGCTCAAATTCCTTCAGTTGAAGAAAATCAATAAAAAGTTCCTGTCTCACATCGTATTCATCCACTCTGTGTACATTCAGTTATTCACATGTTTTGACTCATACGTGGTGCTGCCAGGAGCAGTCCTGTATCAGTCATCTTGCACATGGTCACGGTGTCTTTGGTGTTTCTTGGAGTGAAATTGTTGGTTTATAGGCTATGCAAGCTTCCAAGTTTACTGGATAATTGCCATTGTGTTGAAGGACATGTACCAATTTACATTTTCCCCAGGAAAGCGTGGAGGTTCCTTCGACCTATACTTTGCCCAATACTTGATACTCTAAGGCTCCTCAATCGTTGACAAAACTCTGTCCGATATTTGGTACTCTCAAGTATCAAGCTGACAAAACTATCTTATGTGGTCTTGGTTTGCTTTTCCTTCATTGCTGAGGAGCTTTAGCACCTGATCATATGATTATTGGTCAGCCTGTATTTTCTCCTTTGAAATGTCATTTCATGATAAATACCTGTTTTTCTCTTAACTGGTTTGCATTTTCTTTTTGATTTGCAGGGATTCTTTGTATATTCCTTCTGTTATTTTTTGTGTGTGTTAAAATATTCGTAGCATAAAACTTAACCTTTTATCCATTTTTAAGTGTACAGTTGAGTGATATTAAATACATTCATAATGCCATGCACCTATCACCACCATCCATCTCCAAAGCTCTTCATTGTGTAAGATTGAAACTCTCTACCTGTTACACAGTAACCCCCCCATCTCTCTGCCCCAGGCCCTGGCAACCGCAATTTTACTTTCTGTGTCTATGATTTTGACTATTCTAAGTACTTCATATTAGTGGAATGATGCAGTATTTGTGTGTGTGTCTTTATGACTGGCTTGTT